ATTCCGTTTACAGCGCACCATTTATCAAAGACTACCTTTTCCCCCAGTGTGTGTTCTTTGCACCCTTGTTGAGGGTCAGCTCATCATAAATGTGTGCACTGTATTATGTGAGCACTGTATTATGTTCCATTGGTCTACATGTCTGCCTGTTTAAATTACTGTAAATTTGTAATATGTTTTGAAGTCATGACGTGTGAGGCCTCTAGCTTTGTCCTTCTTTCTTAAGACTGTCTAGGATATTTGGGATCCTTTGTGGTTCTATATGCATTTTAGGCGTGTCTTTCCATTTATTTATGTCTTAATTATTTCAGCGATTTTTTATAGTTTTCAGTGTATAAGTCTTTCCCTACTCCTTGGTTAAGTTGTTCGTAAATATTCTAACTTTTCTGATGTATTATAAATTAGATTTTCTTAATTTCTCTTTTTGGAGTGTTTGTTAGTGTACAGAAATGCAACTGATTTTTATGTGCTGATTTTGTATCCTGCACCTTTGCTGAATTTATTAATTCTAACAAGGTTTTTGTGGAAACTGCAGATTTTTCTATGTATAAGATCATGTTATCTGTGAACTTACATGGAGATGGACGCTTTTGCTTTTTCCTGCCAAACTGCTCTAGCTAGGGCTTCCAGTGTTATGTAGCATGGAAGTAATGAGAGTAATGTCCTTGCTTTGTTTCTGATCTTAGTAAAAAAAAGCTTTTCAGTGTGTATGTTTTTTTTTTTTTTGAGACAGAGTCTCACTCTGTCACCCAGGCTGGAGTGCAGTGGCACAATCTCCGCTCATCGCAACCGCAACCTCCACCTCCCTGGTTCAAGTGATTCTCTTGTCTCAGTCTCCCAAGTAGCTGGGATTACAGGCGCACGCAACCATACCCAGCTAAATTTTTGTATTTTTAGTAGAGACAGAGCTTCGCCATGTTGGCCAGGCTGGTCTTGAACTTCTGAATTCACGTGATCCACCTGCCTCGGTGTCCCACAGTGCCAGGATGACAGGTGGGAGCCACCATGCCTGGACAGTGTGTTCTTTAGTTCTCATATTTTGTGAATTTTCTTGCTGTTTGTGATTTCTAAGTTTATTACCTTGTGGCTGGAAAAGATACTTGGTATGATTTGATTTTAAATTTGTTAACACCTGTATTATGATCTAATATTTTCTATTCTAGAAAATGTTCCATGTGCAATAGAGGAGAAAATGTGTTTTCTGTTCCTGTTGGCTAGAATGTTTTGTATGTGTCTGTTAGGTCTATAATTTTATTCGAGTCAGCTGTTTCCTTACTAATGTTCTGCCTGGTGGTGCTAACAATAATTGGAAGTGAGGTATTGCAATCTCCTACTATTTTTGTGTTATTTTTCCCTTCGGTTGTCAATATTTGCTTCACATATTTGGGTGCACCAATGCTGGGTGCACATATGGATGGTCTCCAACAATGGTTTAATTTACACTTTTTGACTTTACTGTGGTATGAAAGTGATACACATTCAGTAGAAACTGTAATTCAAGTACCCATACAATCATTCTCTTTTTCACTTTTAGTACAGTATTTAATAAATTACATGAGATACTCATACTTTTATTCTAAAATAGGCTTCCTGTGAGATGATTTTGCCAAATCGTAGGCTAATCTAAGTGCTCAGGCTTTTGTTTTCCTTTTTTCAGGAGCTTGCAAGCTCTTGCTTCTTCTGGTGCCTGTCTGAGGTACCACAGGCCCTCTGGAGCTGCTGTAAGCTGCCCAGCTCTTTTTTGGCCTCAGCAGCTCCAAGGCATCTAGAGTACGTTGGGTTCTGCCAGCACTGAGTTGGGTGAGACAGAAGCCAGTCCCTCAGGCAGCCCCTTGAGAACTCCAAATGCTGGACACATGCTCTACTCTTCCCCTGGACCCAAAAAGCAGCCTTCTAGGTACACTGGACTCTGCCTACTGTACTGTGGGTCCTCTGGGGCAGTACAAGCCACCCAGCACCTAGCTTTCTCTTGTTCTCCGCAGCCCCCAGGGACCTAGACCATGCCAGGTCCCATCAGTGCTCCATCTAGTGAGAAAGAAACCAGAGTCTTGGGTGGGCTCCAGAAAACCTAGAATGTTGGACTCACGCTCCAACTCCTTCCCTCCAAAGAGAAGCAGGGAGAGGGCAATGAGGAGTCAGTATGTGCTAGTTCCACCATCCCATTTGTCCTCAGTGGTCCCCAACCTGTACCTTGAGCAGCCTCCTGAGAGGTCTGAATATTAGATATATGTTCCAGTCTTCTTTTTCCTCCCCATAAAGATGCCAGGAGTTGGGAGTTCCCTCCCAATCACACGGTGCTGTGCCAGGTGGAGGAGCTCTGGAGAGCCAGCATCACAAATTCCCCAGTCTTTGATGCAACTGGTTTCTGGATTTCTCACAGAGAGAAATGGTCCTTCCATTGTTGTTGAACTGGTATCTCTATGGGAAAAAGAGGGTCTGGGGCTTTCTCTTCTGTCATCTTGACATTATCCCACATGACATGCCTTTATGGTTTTTTCTGCAAGTGATCTAACTACTCACATGTTTCATTGGCCACAAGAAGATACACGGCTACCTCTAAGTTCAGCAGGCCATGTATATTCCTCCCACAGATAGAAACTAAAATATATGTGGTGTTCCTATTTGGGATGTTAAGAGCCCCTGGGAAGCTCTCATCAACATTCCAAGTTGACGCTCACTAGATGCTGTTCCAGACTCATGTGTGTCCTCAGGCTTTTATTTTTTAGACTCTTTTCTTTTAAAGACAGGGTCTTACTCGGTTGTCCAGGCTGGAGTGCAGTGGCACAATCATGGCTCACTGCAGCCTCAACCTCCTGGGCTCAACTGATTCTCCTGCTTCAGTCTCTTAAGTAGCTAGGACTACGGGCACACACCACCGCTTCCAGCTGAGTTTTAAAATTTGTTTTCTAGAGACAGGGTCTCATTATGTCGCTCAGGCTGGTCTCGAACTTCTGGTCTCCTCAGTGATCTGCCCGCCTCAGCCTCTCGAAGTGCTGGGATTACAGGCATGAGCCACTGGGCAACAAATGCAGCTGCTTTTAAATGTCTTCAGGATGGGGGTGGTGGCTCATGCCTGTAATACCAGCACTTTGGGAGGCTGAGGCGGGTAGATCACTGGAGGCCGGGAGTTCAGGACCAGCTTGGCCAACATGGTAAAACTTCATCTCTACTAAAAATATAAAAATGAGTTGGGCATGGTGGCACATGCCTGTGATCCCAGCTACTTGGGAGGCTGAGGCAGGAGAACTGCTTGAAGCCAGGAGGCGGAGGTTGCAGTGAGCTGAGATCATGCCACTGCACTCCAGCGTGGATGACAGAGTGAGACCCTGTCTCAAAATTAAAAAAAAAAAATGTCCTGAGAGAATAATGGTCTCTCCTCTTCTTTGACCTTCCCAATTGTACATAAGGACTTTCACTGGGAGACCTTATTTGAAACCTTACCAGGAAATGTAGTTCCCAGCTCCTTCTAAGCAACTCACGAAGACCCAAGAGGCGGTATAGTGCTGTACATTTCTCACCTGGACTACTCAATAGGCAAGTAGACTTCCCTGATATTTTACCTCTCCCCACCTCAGGACAGTGTGCTGCATGGGCCTGCCCCTGCTCAGCTTATGAGCCTCCTTCACACTCCTAGCACCAGTAAGCGTTCACACTGCTGCCACTCCTGGGCATTTCTCCATCTCCACTCCACTCCCACCCTTTCCATCCTTTGGCTACTTCCTCCCTATCTGCTGTGTCTTAGCACAGGCATCACCTCCCCAGGCAGTCCAGCACCTGACCCACTGGAAGCACATAGGGAGAGGCCAGCACTCTGCTTTCTTATTTTTATTTTTAATGTTTTTTGAGACGGAGTCTCGCTCTGTTGCCCAGGCTGGAGTGCAGTGGCCGGATCTC